CCCACCTCGGCCTCCCAAAGGCACGGGATTACAGGCTGAGCCACCGAGCCCGGCTTGTGATAGCTTTTTAAAGAAAGCAACAAGGCCGGGGACAGTGGCTCAAGCCTGTAATCCCAGTACTTTGGAATCCGAGGTGAGAGGATTGCCTGAGCCCACGGGTTCGAGAACAGTCCGGACAACTTGGTAAGACCTTGTCTCTGCAATAAATCAAAAAACTAGCCAGTTGTGGTAGTTCTGGCTATTTGGAGGGCTGAGGCGGGCAGATTGCCTGAGCGTGCCATGGCACCCAGCCTGGGCAACAGAGTGAGATTCTGACTCAAAAAAAAAAGGAAGTAACAAGAACAGACACTGTGGTAGCGTATCAAATGAAAGGAACAATGAAACGAAAGGGATTGATGCAGATATTCTGCATTCGAGCCATTCCTTAAGGCAGTCAAGATTTATAATAGACTGTTGCATATAATTGTATGTATACATTATAGTGTGCGCCTCAGACTTGAGAAAAGATTCCCAAAATCTAATTTTTAAAGAGACAAAATTAAAACATGCTCACGATCACAACTGATTTCCATTTTAGGCAAGAAAGGCATCCAAAAAACGAATGTGCTTGCATAAGGAGATCTGATGAACTCTTAAGATGACATGTATAAAAATACAGCACAAGCCAGGCGCAGCGGCTCATGCCTGTAATCCCAGCACTTTAGGAGGCAGAGACGAGAGGATTACCCGAGCTCAGGGGTTCAAGACCAGCCTCAGCCTGAGCAACATGGCAAGACCTTATCTCTACAGTAAATCAAAAAATCAGCCAGGCATGGTGGCACAAGCCTGTGGTTCCAGTTACTTGGAAGGCTGAGGCAGAAGGATCGCCGGAGCCCAGCAGGTCGAGGCTGCGGTGGCCATGAGCGTGCCACTGTACTCCAGCCTGGGCGACAGAGTAAGACTCCAACTCAATAATAATAATACAGCATAGGCAGGTCGTGGGTGGTATCAGCAAGAAATGTGTTAAATGAACACCACGAGGCAACGGCCTGCAGCTTGGGCACGTTGAAGGCCAGGCTCTAAGTGAAGACAGTCTCTTTATTATGAATCTTGACTGTCTTAAGGAGTGGCTCGAATACAGAATATCTGCCTCATTCTTCCAAGTAGCTTGTGGTCATGTGTGACCAGCATGACCTTGAACAGGCTCCAGCGTGCTCATCCACAAAGGGTATCATACCTGCCCTCTCAACCCACAGATTTGTAATGTACAATCCCACTGAAAAT